TTTTCCCCCCCCCCAAAAAAAACCCCCCCCCCCAAACCCCAAAAACGGTTTTTTCCCCCCCCCCCCCCCCCCCCCCCTCCCTCACGACGTCGTTTCTGTGTTACTCCTTCAACGTCTTTCCTTTTTCAATTCTGGCAAGGCCAGGGACGGCTAGAAACTGCTGTGCAATCCTTTCACCGAGGTGGACTTGACAACTTCTCCACTTTGTGAATGAAATACTCTGCCTCTGTAGGCTACGTACTTGGTGTGTTTTCGCCAAGAGATTATTTGTTGCGGAGTTGCGGAGAGCGGAAAATGTTCGGCGTGCTCCCACATGGATCGTAGAGGAGAGTACTCCGTATCTGTTATGTATGGTAATAATGTAGATAAGGGAATATAAATATTTGACGCAGGACGTACTCCGTATACACTAGTGTTCCGCCGCTCCTGGTGCCACACACAGATTATACTACATCTTTTGCTTTGTCCTACTTCTAACAGGCTTTTTGCCCGTACATGCAACACACCAATACTACAGCTAGCTGCTGCTGAATCAGTATTCCCTCCCCCCCCCGCCCCCCCCCGATAACAAAAAAGTTTCGTATAGAAGAACAGCCTAGTGTCACACAACTCTCCTACAGTTGTTCCATAACTACAGTAAACAGTACTCCGCGGGGGGTGAGAAGGTGCCGTCCAACAAAATTGGCGCCCATAACAGATGGGGCGAAAGGAAAATCAATCCTTATCCTTCGAACGTGTTCGAGCGAAAACGAACAGCAACTGGGACGGCCCCCGGTAGCGGCAGTCGTGATGATTAAGGTCAGGGCTCATCGCATGCCGGGCGACGGGTGGTACCGAAGCGCCTCTTCGCCCTCCCAGGAAAAGGTACTTCCCCAAGACGCGGGAAGTTTGAGTCTTCTCGTGAACCACTTCGCAACTATGCGTGCGGTCTTTTCCATTTCCCGACCAAACACCCTCGAGTCACTTCGGGAACGCACGTACAGTGCGGCAGTTTGTTCTCTTTACACACAAGAGCAAATGAGATTCTCCGCGCTGATTGTTTGCTTACATGTTTGCTTACATGTAGGCCTAATTTGTTGTCTTAGCGATTCGCCAGGACTAAGCGGCAGCCATACACCGCCACGTGAGATTAGTGTTCGGCTCCACCAAATACTTTGTTTGGTAGTAGTCAAAAGATGCGCCCATGTTATGAAGGAAATAATAATCAACACAACAAAAGCATACTGGCTGGTAGTACACATGGGTTCGCCCTTGTGTACACCATGGCAGTTAATGTGCCAGAGGGAATCAACGGCAAAAGGCCCACAAAAAACAGGACAAAACGAGAAAAACAATCGTCATCAGGCACCATGAATACGGTAAAACAGCAGTGTACTTCTTTCAACTGATCATGACAGGTCGGCCAAAGCCGCGGTTTGTCTCAGGCGCTCGATGATCCCGTGAAGCGCCCTGTTCTTCTTCAGCCCAGACACCTGTTCCATTTCGCACGTGCACCAACCGTACGTTCGTGATACACCGGTGAGCAACGGTGCGTTGCAGTGATCCAACAGAGAACGACGGGCGTCTGACGACCAGCTCACACACGCATACACGCAGAAAAGGCAGACAGACGCACAGAAAGGCAAACAGACAGAAAGACAGCAAGGTGAGCCCTACCTACGCAGCTTGCTCGTTCGCACAGCGAACAGTCACCGAACCCCCAGAAACCCTTCTTCGACTATCTACGGTCACCATACGTTTCATTTCCCCCCCCTCTCCGTCCGAGGTCAATGGCCTAACGACTACGGCATGCACGACTACGAGTACCCCCCCCCCCCCTCTCCGCCCACATAGTTGGGGAGTGTTAGTTGTACAGGAAGGAAAGAAAGGATCTCCAGGAGGAAATGAGACAGAGAGGGTGTGACATGGACAAGTTTGGTAAACTAGACAACAGCGAAAAAACGATCGCGATAATTGGGGATAGATGGTGGGCACAAGAGGCCCTAGAGGACGGGGATAAGATGTGCAAGAAATGTTTATGTAGTTTGTGGCAGAAACGTAAAGAGCTCCCAAATGTTGGTAGCGTCTCTAGTAGGGGTAGGAACGGTGCTCCGTCTCGAAAGGGACGCGTGGTCAATGGTCAAATTACTAAGGCAAGCAACAAAATGAGTACGCCCCCCCCCCTCTCCGCCCGATACAGCTGTGCGTCTCTCACCAGGGACCGGTGTGCGTCGAGCATTTCCTCGTACCCCTCCGCTCCAGCCATGCAGTCACGGAGAGACTGCTCGTACTGCTCCTCGTACACGCCCCGCGAGAGCACTCTTTGCACCGGGGAGTTCCTCAAGAACTCGCAGAACCCTAGCCTGGGGGCGCCGTTCGTAGATTGTGAATGAAGGGGGGGGGGGGGGGGGGGGGTGTACTCATAGTCGTGCATGCCGTAGTCGTTAGACGATTGACCTCGCATCCCTACAAAGCCGGGACGGAGCACGCCGGGTTCTCACCGGACCAGGCTCTCACATCACCAAGCGCGAAGCGCCGTGAGGTATTCGGCGAGTCGCATGAAGGGTGAGCTGCATCCTGCTAAGGGTGTTCGGCGTCTTAAGCTTACTTCCTTGCGTACGGATGACAGCTGCGTACGATGAAATAATTTATTTTCTGGTGCTT